CTTCCCCTCCCAATCCCGGGCCCTGCCCTTCCGGGCCCCGCCCCAAGGCCTGGGCTGCCTGGCTGAGGATGTCAAAGGCTCAGGTGCTTCCAGACGTAAAAGAGAGGGCTCCAAGGCGATTTTAAAAATGCCATTCAATATATCCTCCTCCTCCTCCTCCAACATTTACTGAGTGCCAACTGTATGCAGGGCAGGGAGACCTGGAATCGGATCCCTTTAATTTGGAACTTTATAATGAAGCAGGAAGACATGATAGTGAAGGACTTTGGCTCCTCTAAAGTTGTTAGGTGACTAAGCAGTCCATGTGAAAAGGTTTTGGAGGATTCAAAAAGGAGACATCTCTGCGACCTGGGGGATGGAGAGCTTCCTGGAGGAGGTGGCGGCACCGTGTGCAGAGGTGGGGAGGCTGAGGGCAGGTCTGCACGTCGAAGGGCAGAATGGTGACGCGGGACGTTGGTTTCATGCAGGACTGGAGTGGGCAGGAGGGACAGGGATTCCTCTAGGGTCTTCTTTTATTTATTTATTTTTTAATTATATATTTTATTTATGTTTTACAGAGAGGAAGAGAGAGGGATAGAGAGTTAGAAACATCGATGAGAGAGAATCATCGATCAGCTGCCTCCTGCACCCCCACCCCACCCCGCCACTGGGGATGTGCCCGCAACCAAGGTACATGCCCCTGACCGGAATCGAACCTGGGACCTTTCAGCCTGCAGGCCGATGCTCTATCCACTGAGCCAAACCGGTTTCGGCGGGTCTTCTTTTAATACGAGATTGTGGCACTTTAGTGTGATTACTGGGGGGGGGGGGGGGCTGGGGGGCACGCTTCTTTCCTCACTGGGCCTGGAGCAGCTGTCATCTGTCTCTATCAGCAAACACACAGCACCAGAAGGGGTCAAGGGGAGGGGGAGGGGTGCAGGGGAGACCACAGTTTGGGAAAAGTCATTAACATTGTGATTTCCCCCTTGAGCACCACCTTGAAGAAGACGCCCATGTTTTGTGTACCCCTGAGTTGTAGGGGGAACGGCAGGTTCAGGGTAATAGTTAAGTCAACCAAAAGTTCTAGAGTCAGCCATCAGAGCAGCACCTACTGTCTCTAAGCCGACTTGCCTGGAATGAGGTGACTCCTGGCCCCTCACTTGACTCTAAGTTGACTTCCTAATGGGGGGCCGATGGGGGAGGGGGGACACAGGGGCTTCACAGAGCCCAGAGTGCAGGCCTGAACCGTGAGCCTGCGGGCCAGAGTTTCTTTTAGGAGTGGAAGGGGGTGGGTCTCCTGGGTGAGCACCAGCCAGGAGCACCAGGGAGCACTGGCCCCTGAAAGCAGAGACCCAGGTCCGTGGGCAGAGCTGGTGCTGGGAGCTGGGTCCCTGAATTCATCACTGGGGTTGTTGAGGGGCTCCTCTCAAGGGGCTCCACAGGACCCCCCTCCCCCCACTTTATGTTATCGAGAGACAGAAAGCCAGGCCTTGCTGAGGCAGCCCCTAGCACCCCCTGGGTTCAGGAGCCCAGAGTTCTAGGCCCAGCTCCACCTCAGGCTCCTAAGACCTTGGGTAAGGCACTTCCTCTTTGGGGGTGGGGTCCCCATTTCCTTGTTGTTACATTTGGGGATTGGATTAGGTCTGTGAGTGGAATCCTTTTTCAAATGAAATCTCTTGCAGGCCCTCATTTGTCAAGCCTAGGAGAGCGTGGGCTCAGCACTCACACCCTCAGCAACTCCTGCACAGAATTCAGCTCCGAGCCCCTGAGCTGTCCCGCCCCCTCCCCTCACAGAGGCATCCTGGATACCCCGCCTCTCCCACCTCCCTCCCAACCACCAGCACGTCCTGTGTTCCAGCGTCCACATTTCCACTCCCACTCCAGCCCTCTGTCCTGGCCGCCACACCCCGCAGGGCCCTCCCCCAGTCATGTCCTCAGGACAGCCCACACCAAACCAGGTCACCCCTCCCTGCGAACCCCATCCGTGGGCCTGGCTCACGGGGTCCCCAAAGCCTTTCCTCCACTTGACCAGCCTTCATCTGTCCTCAGCACCCACACTCCGCTCCTCGCACAGTTCCCAGCAGGCCATCCACATCCCCCAGGTCTGGCCTCCCGCTCCCCCTTCCTCCGGGCCTCTGATAGACGCCACCTCCTCGGAGCAGACGTCCCTGACCCCCTGCTTCTGAACCGCCCCCCTGGGCTCCCCACGCCCCTCAACTTAACTTTCTGCCTCTTATCCTGGGAATGCCAGCGGCCACTGGGCAGCGTCTTGGTTAAATGCTGGGTCCCGCCCACACCTCATGCAGACACTGTCTGTTGAATGAGCCTTGGGTGAATCAGCAGAACCCTGAACGGAGGGAACGGTACTGGGCATCCTGTCTGCATTCCCTTTGTCCCCAGTTGACATTTTCAACCAGAAGTAGGCAGGGTTTGCTTGTCAAGATCCTCACGCTCCTCTTCCAGGGGGTCAACACCCAAGGGACACCCTCCGGGTCCCTGGGGGTTGAGCGTGGGAACATTCTCCAGCTGTCTGAACATCCATTCCCACCATCGAGCAGGAGGGGGCTTTGGGCAGCCAGGTGGACAGTTGTGCTCAGCTGAGGACCCGGGACCCGGGACCCGGGACCCGGCAGGTGTGCGGTGGCCCAGGGAACGGGGGGCTGCACCGGAGAGCCGCCCTCTGGCACCTGAGAGACAAGAGGGTTGGGCTCCTGAGGGGAGAGCAGGGTCTCCAATGGTAGACGTTAGAAGGAGGCAGACTCAACTCAGGAATTCCTTTCGTAGGTCAGCTGCCTGTCGAGTGGTGGCAAGCTCTCTGTCACGGGGCCTTTCAGAAATGTCGTCAAAGGGATTCTTGTTCCTCAAGCATGTCAAACTCCCCGTCCGAAGGCCACATGCCTCGGTGTATTTGGCCCGTGTTAGCCTTTGAGTTGGGCATGCTTGCTGTGCCTGGGGCAAGGCTAAAGGAGATAGGATCTAGGAACCCTTCCAATCCGTGGGGTCCTCTTAAAGCAACATTTTCAGCAACAAACCAATATTCATCTGACCTTCAGGATGTGCCAGGCACTGCTCTAAGAAAGCCTGACAAGATCCTACAGCCTCCTTCACCCTCACGCTACCCCCACCCCTGGTCCGGGGTCCCCAGCTGGGTTGGTGTGTTAACCCTTAGCTCATCCAACCCTCATAACCACCCTATGAGTGGATGTTATCAGCACCCCCCATTTACAGATGAGGCGAAGGCCAGGTCTCTGGACCAAGGTTAAACAGCTGGCAAACAGAGGGGTTGCACAAATAACAATATTGACAAATAACAATAGTAGTAATGATAGCAAAAGCCAAGGTACAAAGCTCTTCTAGGCACTCTCTTTTATCCTGAAGACAACGGTGAGAGGTAGTTATTACTCATTTTACAGATGAGCTCACAGAGGCACGGAGAGGTTAAGTCACCGGCCCAGTAATGCACAAAGACAGGCAAGAGGAAGTGGGTCGGGCTCAGTCACCGCTGGGAGGGAAGTGGGAAGTTGGAGAGGTTAGGACTCTGGCCTGTCACCCCCCTTTCCTCCCAGGAAAACTCCTCCTTACGCGCTTCACCCAGAAACACTGGGTGTACCCGATACCTGCCCCTGGGTGGGTGGGGGATGGGGGAGCCTTCCCCAACAGAACTCCCAGTTCCTCCCACTGGATGGCATTTGTCTCTCCAGAAGCCACTTCCAAGGGAAAGCGTGCAGGCACACCATGGGGGCCACAACGCGGGCGGGAGTGGGGAGGGGGCTGGGCAGGAGGAGGAAGGCGTTCCAATCTAGAGGAATGGAAGGGCCCCTCCAAGTCACCCCACCCACGAGAGTGAGAGCCAACATCTCCCGCTGCTCCCCCCACCCCCACCTCCACTCAGGACGGCATCAGATGGGCCCAAGCCTCCTGTTTTCCAGCGGACAACCGAGAAGGCCCTGGGAGCTGAGCTCACCCAGCTAGGCCAGGCAGGGTCTGGATCTGGGTGTTCATCACAGAAGTAGGCCAGGACTTTTTAAACAAACAAACAAAAAACAACAACAACAACAACAAAACACACACACACACACACACACACACACACACCTGGGAATGGTGCTCCTAGAGGCATCCCGCCAACCCTGGCACCCAGAAAGGTTCTGAGAGTCTTTCCAGGGAATCTGCCTGCGAACGGGAGTCCCCTCACCTCCCTGCAGCTGCCCTGGGTTCCCGCTAGGCTGAGTGAGGCCGCAGAACCTCCTCGGAGCGCGCCCAGGGCGCCATCCCAAAGCCCGAGGTTTGGAGGCGGTGACACTGGTCCCCAGAGACCTGGTCCCCACACATTCCAAGCAGCGCCCTCCCCAGCGATGCCGCCGGACACGCTCAGCCCACGCGCGCCCGGGTCCCTCCCCAAGCACCCGGTTTGGCGAAGGCCGGTCCGAAGGTCACCGTCCCCGGATGCCCCGGAGGGCAGTGAGGGGTGGGAGTGGGGGGAGGAGTAGGGTGGGGAGAGGGGATCGCGGTGGGTCCTCAGGCCAGGCGGGTTGGCCATGGATGGGCCTCAGGCGCCCAAAGTTACGGGGACCCCGGCCCCCCACCCCAAGTCCTGCCGGCACCGGCGCCTGTGCACGCCTGGCGAGCAGGCGGAGCCTCGGGAGTTTGCATCCAAAGTTCCGGAGGGACGGGAGCCGGCGAGCCACGTCCACACGGCCCCGAGCCCGGCTCTGACAGGTAGAGACAGGCGACCTGCTGGCACCCGCGCCGGCTGGCTCTCCCCGCGCGCGAGCGAGCGACGCCGGGGCTGGAAAGTTTAGCCAAGTCTCCTCCGGCCCCGCAGGCTCCCCGGGGCCGCCCCTTCCGTGTGCACCGGGGTTCGGCCTGGGCTCAGCGGGACCCCCCGAGGTCCCCAGCGCAGGCTCCCCGGAGCTCCGAGCGCCCTGGGGGACGGGGGTGCGGATGGGGCGGCTGGAGGACGCGGCCCGGGGAGGGGGACGGGGGACACCCAGGCAGGAGGGGCTCGGCCCCGGACTTACCCCGCGGGGTCCTCGCGCGCCAGCGCCCCGGCGCGTCGGCTCATGCCGCCGGCAGTCGCGGACGGCGGAGGCTCAGGCGGCCGGCGGCGCGGGCCGCGGTGGCCGCGGGGGTCCGGGCGCCCGCATCCCCGGCGCCGCCTCGGGAAGGGCCGCGGGCGCCGCCGCAGCCGCGCGCCCAGTGGAAGCCGCGCTCCGGGCGCCCGCGCCCCGCTACTTCCTGTATCCGAGCGAGCGGGGCTCTCAGGAAGAGGCCGGCCTTGGTGGTCAAGGGTGTTTTTTTTGTTGTTGTTGTTTGTTTGTTTTAATGTCAAAAGCCTTTCGGAGGCGGCTCGCGGCCCGGAGCCCTCCCGGGGCGCACGGAAAGCGGCGGCCGCGCCCCCGGGGCCGGGCCTGGCGCGGGCGGGGCCTGGCGGAGGCTCCCAACCGCGGGCGCTGCCTCGGCCGTGGGGCTGGGGCTGGGGCTGGGGCTGGGGCCCCGGAGGCCCCCCGAGGGCCGGGAAGGAAACTCTGAGAAACGTCTCCAACTTGGCCAGTAGTCCCGTGGGGAGGAGAGCGCTCCCTGCTCCCCCTGCCCGCCTGGCAGGAGGGGAAGGCCAGGAGCTCTGCGCGGGGCACTCTTGGGACAAGGAGTCCCCCAAATCGCCCAGGAATGGTCCCAGAACAGAAACAAAGCGCCCCCCCTCCCCCCCGCCACACACACACCCCTAACAGGTGGCCGTGCTTCCTGCTCTTGGATGCCTCCACTGACGATGAGCTCACTATCTCACAAGGCAGTCAGTTCCCCCGCCCAGCCTGGAACCTCATCCATCTGCCCCACACCTAGAGGGGAGCAGAGAGTGAAAGCTACATACAACACCCACAGCAACCGTGGGCATATATACAGCACCCACAGCAACCCCGTGGGAGGTGAGGCCTCTAGTCCAAGTGCCTGGGACACTCAAAAATGCCCTCAGAGCATTTCACAGCGAGCAGAGCGGGGCACTATGAAGTCGCCTCAGTCTAATGCCAGGTGGAATGCCTTGTCACTACTGGGGGCCAGTTAATGCTTTGTTTTTGGAGCTATCGCATGCATTGCAGGATATTTAGCAGCATTCCTGGTCTCTACCCACTAGATACCAATAGTATCACTCTCTCCTTCTAATAAGCAAAACTTCCTCTAGAGTCCCAGTGTTTCCCAAACTTTTGACATATGTGTACCCCTTCTATAATTTTCGTAAGGCTGAGTACCCCTCGTACTCATGAGAATGTAGAATTAGGCACAGCTAAGCACGGTGCAGTGCATATCCCCACCAAACTTTGGTGCAACGCGTACCCCCACCAAACTCTTCCCGTACCCCTGGGGGTACCCAGTACCACACTTTGGGAAACACTGCTGGTCTAGACATTTTAGGTGGCCCTTGGGGGGGGGGGGGTGGTGTTGAGACCCATGGTCAACACCTCCTTGGATAAATAAGGAAGCTGAGACCTAAAGAGAGGAGATGACAGGCCTGGGACCACACAGTAGCTGAAGTGCACACAGGCCCGAGGCTCTGGTAGAAGCCTCATGAGGCTGCCACGCCTCTGCCCTGCTGGCCTCCTCTCACGTGCTCCTCCCTGTCTTTCCTGACATTCAGGTCAGCCTGTCGGGAGTGGGAGAGAAATGCACTTAAAGTGCAGCCTCCAAGGAGGAGTGTAAAAGGGTGCCGCCGCTTTGGGAAACAGTCTGGCAGCTCCTCAAAAGGAAAAAGATGTGACCCAGCAATGCCACACCCAAAAAATGAAAATATATGTTCACACACACACACACACACACAAAAATAATGTACATGAGTGTCCATAGCAATGTTATTCACAATCGCCTCCAGACGGAAACAAACCCAGTGTCCATCAGTTAACGCACTGATGGACAAGATGTGGCCTCTCTGTAGTAGGCAGACAGGCCTGAGCAGCGTGGGGCCGATAGGCCAGGTGCCTAGCAAGCCCTAGAACCACCACTCCCTTACACATTAACCTTGGAGATGACATGTAGGCCTCAGGTGTGCTTCAGCTCCAGACCCAGAAAAGCAGCAAAACCAGGTTGGGAGAGGCCATGGCTGACATCAGGACCAGCTGCCATGACTAATAACCCCCTGCCCTGGGGCCTGACCAATTAGTGAGACCTCAACCCTGAAAGGGCCCAGCTGGGAAGCTGATGAATATTCTATTGAGATTCTCCCCTGAGACCTCAGGGCAAGGACCCTGCCAAGGAGCTCTCTATGGAGCTTGCCTGAGCCCCTCCCCCACCCCCTCCCCCTAGGTGCATTTTTCTTGCTTCTCTTTCTCCTAAGCTCCAAGGGCCCCGCCTTTTGCCTCTAAAACTCCTTTCCTGAGCCCATTTCTTCCACGGCTCACTTCCTCTACCTCTGTGACTTGCTAAATAAACTTTCTCTTACAGTTTGAGTCTTGGCTCTGAATTCTTTCTTAGCCACAGCTCAAGTACCCAGGTTGTTGAACCAAGGTCTGGCATGACTCCACTGGTCTAACACCCGGCGCTGTTTTTCCACTGCTGACATGTCCATCCAATGGAATATCATTAGGCCACAAAAAGGGATGACATATGATACATGCTACAGCATGGATGAACTGGGAAAACATTACGCTAAGGGAAAGAAGCCAGTCACAGAGAACCACATATTGTAGGGTACAATTTACATGAAATGTTCAGAATAGACAAATCCGTAAAGACATGCCATTGGCAGTTGCGGAGGCTGGAGAAGGGAGGATGGGGTTGGCTGCTAATGGTTACAGGGTTTCTTTCTGGGGAGAAAATGTTCTAGCGTTGATTGTAGTGATGGTTGCATAACTTTGTGGCTACACTGAAAAGATTGAATTGTGCACTTTAAGTGGGTGAATTGTATGTTATATGAATTCTATCTTAAACTATTATTTTTTAAAAATACAGCCTCCTGGAGGCCACCCTGACTGCTCCAGCCACTCCACTTCCTCCTCTGCTCAGATTCCCACCCAGCCCCCATTCGTTCATGACCAGGACCCATTGACCTCTCCTCTCCTCTGGAGGCTAAACCCTCTCCTCACTGGGTGGGAACATCTTCTCCTCATCTCCCCGGGCAGGACTATAGCTCCCTGATTGAAAACAAAGGCTTCGGCCACAAACTTGCATCCAAATCTAAGCCCAGGCCTTCCAGCTGGGTAGTCTGGGACAAGTTACTTCCTAGTGCCTCAGCTTGTACAAGTCACAAGCACCAGTGGGGTGGCAAGAAGGCACCCAGCCCAGGGTGCCGTTAGTAGTCCTTTGCTGTTGCTAAAACAAGCCCTTCAACCACTCCCAGGCCTCCCTGGGCCCCAGGGACAAGATCTATCCAACTATAGCATCTAGAACAGTCCCTCAGGCCCTTCTAGGCTGGTGTGAGCTGTCAGTAATCCCACTTTTCCACATCTTCCCCTGAAAGAGGTTTCCTTCTGCTCCCTGGGCCGTTGCTGAGAAACTCAGGACGAGCCCCTCAAAGCCTGGGTTCCATGGGGCCAACCCCAAGGCTCTCGCCTTGTGCCCACAGAGGCCTCCACAGGCCCACCCCTCGCCTGCTCCATGAAGATGGAGTTCCTCTGGTGAGGACACCAGACGAAGCCCCACCCTGACCCTGTTGCTACTGGAGGGGTTCAGAATGAGTCACCCCAAGATGTGCCTCTGTAGTATGCAGGTTATTATGAGAGCTCAAGAGAAACTTACTCCATCCCCACTCCCCACCCCAAACTACCTAGAAGGACTTAAACTCGAGGCCTTGCTCATAAGAAATGATTATCAGAAAGAACTTTTTTGACCTATTTTTAAGACAAGGCAAGCATGTAATTACTGAACATTTGCTCTTCTTATCATCATCCAATGACCTTCCCCTCTGAAGGTCATTTACTTTCCTGACTTCCAACCTCTCATGTATGTGGGGTCTCTGACGCTCATGTAGGTGGGGTTCCATGCATACCTATGTAAAGAAACGGGGCAATTTTCTCTTGTTAATCTGCTTCATGTGGAGCAGGGCAGGGGCCTGCATCAAGGGACACAGCCTGTCACAACAGTCTTGAGGGAGGCGACCAGGAAAATAAATACTCTTGTCTCTTCCCTTCCTCCCTTCAATCTCATGTAGTCCCCCCTCTTCCTCCCCCGCCCCCACTTCCCCTCCCCCCAATTACAAAGCCAGCTGGAAGCAGAAAGCTTGGGAGCCCATTGGTCATTCCCTATGGGTGTGGAGTCCCTATGGGTCAGCCTCCTGGGATGTAGAGAAAGGCTGGGGTGGGGGGGGGAGGGAGTGGGCAGCAGGAAGGCAAAGCTGTGGAGTCAGACAAATTGGGCTTAAACCCTACACAGGACCAGCCCATTTGCTGGCTGAACACCGTCGTGCAGTGACCTCTGTCCCTGTCACATGGAACGGGAGAACCCCTGGACAGGCCCTGCCTGAATTCCTGAATGTAAAATTGTGAACTAGAATAAAATGGTTGCTGTATGCTGTATTTTGTTTTGCAAAAGTAGGTACCAAACCCAGTTCTTTCTGTGACTTTTTCCCTCTTCTCTGACTCCCACTAAGCCCCACAGGGTTTTGAAAATTTCTCCCTGTTACTTTGGAGAAATCCTTATGAAGAGGGGAAGAGGGCGGGTTGGGGGCTGAGGAGGGGGGCTTTCTTATTGTAAAATCAACCAGTATTCTCAGGGGTCAGTAGGGAACAAAGCCTCTGCACTGGCTGGCAATATCAGAGAGAGAAAGAGAGAGAGAGAGAGAGAGAGAGAGAGAGAGAGAGAGAGAGAGAGAGAGAGAACTCATGAACTGAGGAGACACCCCAAAAAGTTTTCAAAGCACCCCCCAATCTGGATTATCAATGGGCTTCTTGCCTGGTGTCCCACTTCCCCTCGACCAGCCCCATCCACCCCTGTGGCAGAAACTGGAGGCTTCCCAGATCTTTCTCAGGGAACCTGGGTCCTGTCCTGTCCACAGCTGCATCGGTTCATCTGACTCAAAGGCCTGTCCCTGAAGCTCATCTGCTCCCAACTGAAGTGCCCTCTTAGCCTGCACTTGTC